GTTTTCACTCTCACTATTCCCTCACCTCTCGCTTCTTGTTCAATCCTGAAAATCAGTTGAGGCCCATCAAAGGACGTTTCCAACGTGGTGGTGTTTGGAGGGTATTCATACTTCTGATCCGATCGCAAAGCATGAACGCGCTCTTATTCTTCCAACTGCATATGCATATGTGTATAGCACCTCTTACCAGCGACTACGGTTTACAAATGTGCCTCTGATACAGACTGTGGAGGACAGAATTCTAAAGCTTAAAAATATCCCAAACTCTACCCCAACATCTATTTGGAATTCTTAGTTTCACGAAAATATCATGTGATAGCGCAGCATGGCACACTCGCTTCAAGCCTGTTGCAAAACGAAGGGTCATTAATAACTGACATATTTACGACATTTCGGAACACGTGCGCATCATGCCATAAAGAAGATCGGCATTTTAATAATTCCAGTTCGAAGGACTCGAGGCCTCAATACAGGAGAACGCGAAAATAGAGGTCTCCTAGGAATAAATTTCGGTTGAAACTCTGTTTTCGAGAAACTAAACACTACTGGTACTTAGGGCTGAACATGCTCCGCGAAAATTTAATTTGCTCTGAGGCTACACCGTCTGATGATGTTATGCAAACATCTTCTTCCTATGCTCGAATGCGTTATCTTCTGAATCACTATCCTTCTTACGTAAATAACCTATCATTACTTCAGTATTGAACCCATCAGGACCTTAGTTAGTTAAACTAAACCTATACCTTTTGGATTTCAAAAAATCCGGAATGGTAACCGAGCAAAGATTCGATGTGTTCCCTTGTCGGGGATTTTAAGAGAAGAGGTGAGCTTTTTACAATCAGAGGCGGACTCGCATAAGTTTAGAATACATGGCATGTATACTTTATTATATTACCAGTTGGATCACCCAGCTGCCGCCGGGTGCTCCTCCTTCTGATACGGCCCGGCTTCGCCGGGCCGACCTGGCTTCGCCAGGCACTCTTCCCTTGAGCGAGGTAGAATGCGCTAAATGTGCCAAACAGTGGCAGTTTTTCATTAAAATGTAGGGAAATGAGTCGAAAAAAGCTCAACATCAGTCATTATCTACCAACATCTGGTCCCTCTTGCTTACTACAGACTTTCAACAGTGAGAAGGCTGCACCATATCATCAAGGACCGCAGTTGCGACATCAGAATGGGTAAAGTTGAATTAGTCCGGATGAGTCCTTAACACCGGAAGAGGCATAACTGCAGAGTCATGGGTGGCACTGAAAAGGAGAACTTCACATTGCTTGTACATGTCAAAGTGTATGTCGCACGGAGAGCTCGAATGTTACCACCGATACGACGTCCGCGCTCCCCATTGTTGGGTTCAGGGCACATCGTTGTTGGGGAATCCCCAATAGAGAGGGGGAGGGTCGTATTTGGGTTGGGAAAAATTTATTTTGATAGTTGATTTTTCTCGCTTCACGGGGGTCGTACCTGGTCATTGTTGGGTCGTACAGG